ACCATATGCAAAGCTATCCAGCCTCTCACACCCCGGGATATTTCACTCATCAACTGCAGGGCAATTCGTACCACCAAGTACAGGCCAATCCGGACCACCAAGTACAGGCCAACCCGTACCACCAATTACAGGCCGACCCGTACCACCTACTACAGAGTAATGCTTACCACCAGGTCCAAAGCCCTTCGACCACAAGCTTTGACCAAACTCCACCACAGCTTTACCCGCCGGTTGCAGGCCACCCCATCTCCAACTATCCTGCCTCTCCGACGCCGGGTTATGAGACCCATCAGTTACAAAGCAATGCTCACCACCAGGCTCAAACCCTTGCGTCCACAAGCTTCGAACAGCCTCTACCAAAATATTATCGACCACTTTCCAAATCTCTTGCAGATCAAGCAAAACGTCAAGCAGCTTCGAACACGCAGCGTCTGCGACCCACTTCGTCCGTGTCAGGGCACGATGAGAGCATGTAAGTGCAATCATTCTATAAATCTACTCTCAGGATCTGATATTGTTAGACGCCGCGTCGCAGGACAACAAACAGCCAGGCTTCCGTTGAGAGCACATCTACTGAAAGAGACGCATATGAAGCGTTTGTATTACTCTCCTTTGACTGGACTCGCTACCCTTCGAAAATCGGTAGCTGATATTCCACGTTCACTACATAGATTCGTAGCCAAAGAACACCTCATTGATCCTTCTGGCAAGGGAAAATTAATTTACATCCCTGGTCAGAGAGAAATGCACCGCGCCGGTGGTTCAAGACAACATATGTCAGTATTATGAATACGCAGGCTGATGTTGACATACATTTGTCTTCCGCATACAAGGAAGCTAATATTGATCGATCCAGCGATTCCAATATTATTCGAGGTGCAGAGATGTCAGCAGCCACCGCAAAGAAGATTAAAGAGAAGTCATCATCAAGAACAATAGCCAAGGGCGCAAGCCTATATACCCAAGATCCTCAAATATTGAGAAGCGCCGACGAAGAGACATCAATTGACAGTACGGCGCGGGCACGGGATATGGCTCAAGAAAAGATGTAAGTGAAACCAACTTACGCGCGCGGTATTCACGTCTTGATTATACCCAGAATTCTTGACTCTCGCAGAGCATACGATATACTCGTTGCCGAGGCCTCGTTCAACAAAGTCCATCATCTTGATAATATCAAAGCAACTGCCATATCACCGCATGGAGATGGCACCGCAAGCCCTAAGGATAACGGAATTATGAAGAATGAGGAGAAAGCGACACCACTAGACAACACAGCGCACACACAAGCTCAGGATCAGGAGAGATTGTAAGCGGGATCTTAATTGGTATATGCATTATTCGCTTTTGGTTGATTGTAAATCAATTTATTTCACCTACAGAGAATCCAAGATGATAGCTACCGAGGCTGCATCCAAACCCATCAAACAGCTTGACACTACCAAGACAACTGCGATAACCCCACAGAAAGATGACACAGCATATTCTAAGAATCCCAAGATCATAAAGGGAGAAAAATCAATTGAACGCACGACCCGCACACAACCTAAAGAGAAACCGTGAGTAGGGTTGAAAGCTTCTAATACGATATTCACCTTTCGCTCATCATACGCGAAAACATTTCATTTGTAGATCACCAAAGATAATACCTGGCGAGGACTCATTGAAAGCCGAACAGCTCGAAGCTATCAGAGTAGCTGGAACCGCTGCGAAGAAATATAACACGGCTTATAGCAAGTATCCGGATACATTGAAGAGTTGGGAGGGCGAGACATCACGTGACACCACGGCGGGTACATACGCTAAAGAGCAAGAGCAAATGTCAGTCCGATTAAAAGGTCTTTTCAGCACATTTTGTTGATTTCAGAAAAATTTCTTAACCCATAGAGCACCAAATGTACTAGCTGCTGAGGCATCAAAAGAGGCCAAGCAGCTTGATGCTCCCAAAATAGGTAAAGTTTCTCCGAAGAAGGATAACACAGAAGATTGGCAGGATTGGAAGAACATGCTGTGAGTCAAGAGGTTCTTCTTGTCGAGACCGCGATTGTTAAACTTCATCTCTGATTTTTCCGCTATCCCGAAGAAAAATCGGTTCGATCGATGTGGACTTGAGGGAAAAGGACGCAGACGCTGCGGAAACTGTATCCAAGACAGCTGTCACTAGTAGTCAAGAGAACGTTGTCAAAGATACGAAGAGCAAAAGGTGCTTGGTGGTATTCCCTATCAGTTTTGAGGTAAAATAGCTGCATGAATCCATTCTAAAACATGTTTGAATTCCGGCATTTAACATTAAAGCGCAAATGAAGCTCCAGAGAACCCAATCTTAAACATGGAATCTGACAACGTCGACACCAAACTTGATTTGACAAGGGACTCTGCGTTGGAAAAGTTGTGGAATGGGAATCAACCAAGTAGGCAGGGCATACAAATTTCGCCAAACAAGTGAGTTGAATTCTTTGACAGTCATATAAGGAATGGACCCTGTGTCAATCCATAGTTTGACCCCTTACTTTTCGGCTATCAGACAAGAGGCTAACACACTTCAAGTTGGCGAAAAAAGTACAGCGTGAGTAGTCTCTGGATTATCCAATGATCTGTATGAATGGGGTTAAAAATAGAATCTTTCTTATAAAATCTCAAGTTCGAATTCACCCAGCGCACCTTTGAAAACCAACCCCAAAGAAGCTGACCCGAAACGTTCTTTGACAAAAGACCCAGCGCTATCAAAGGCGTTGAATGGAATTCAATCAATCAGGCAGACAGTACCAAATTTTTCAAACAAGTGAGTACAATTAGTTTACAGTCATCTTTGCAAACAGCCCCGTGTCAGCCCAAATTTCAACTCTCATTTTTCGGCCAACAGACAGCAGACCAGTCTCAGACAACCCCTAGTGAGCGTTAAAGACACAACGTGAGTAGAGCCTTACTTATTGAAGCCAGTATTCCCTAGTTTGTTGGTTGATGAATATTATTTATAAATGCATTTTGTAAACGTGTTGGAATCATCGAAAAAGCCCAATTCCAGCTCCACAGGCCCCACTTTCGAAATTGACCCCGAAAGGAGACGATCCCAAGCTTGCTTTGACAACAAATATAGCGCTAGCAAAGGAGGCGACAGAAGGTCAATCTAACGGACGGATCGTACAAATTTTGTCTAACAAGTCAGTTCCATTCTCTGAAGGTCATCTCTTCCAAGAGAGACTCGGCCCTGTCGACCAAAAGTTTGATTCCTACTTTTCGGCTATCAGACAGCGGACCCACTCACCTCCAATGGACAGTACGAATCCAACGTGAGTAGTCACTCACTTGTTCAAGGCAGAAGTCAAGTGTTTTTTGGTCGCTGAATGCTTCTTCCGAAACTGTTTGAATTCTTCAATTCGGCGTAAAAGCTCAAGTTCAGCTCCACAGAACCTGCTTTTGAAAAAAAAAACCAAAGCTATCGATCCCAAACTTGCCCCAAAGATCGATGTGTCGCTAGAAAAGGCCGCAGGCGAAAGTCAATTCAGCAGGCAGAGCATCAAAATCTTGTCAAACCGTGAATCTTACTACTCGCCTATCGCACAGCCGGTCAGGCAACCTCCCGTCAGCATCAAAAACACGCTGTGAGTTTTCTGCAGGTGTTCCTTTTATATCGCGAAACAGATTGAATACTGAAATAAAATACCAATGCTAGATCTCAAAAGCTGGAGCAAAACAGCATTCCCAATAAAGACGGTTGGATTCCTGTTGGGTACAAGAAGAACAATAACATTGGGAACAATGCGGATACTTCATCTCAATCTACTCGTTTATCAACACCCGATCAAGGCTTTCGAAATCTTGAGAACTCGAAGAAAGCTACCAAGCTAGGGGAATCAATCACACCAAAGCTCATCGTCACTACACCAAATGAAAAACCTGCAGTTGGAATTGAAACCGATCAAGAGATATTGACGAAATCAGCCGACACGAAAAAAGACCTGTTGAATGATCCCGCTGAGAGTAAAGATAAGGCGCCCGAAAGTTCCAATTCAAATGTAGATGAAGTATCAAAGAATACTGAAACTGCGCGAGATATCCCAAATCCTATTTTGTCACCAGCAAAAATTACAAAGAAGTCCAAAAAGAAGAAACCCGTCAAGAAGAAGAGTGAAGATTTCATTACTATGCCAGAAACATTGGACGACCTTCCCTTGAGTGACGAAGGGATTATACGAGAAAAACGCTATCACATCATGAAATCGAACATCAAAAGAATTCTGAAGGCGGACGACCTGACTCCCTTTCTTAACATAGACTTCAATCTCAAGGTCGATGGAGAATTTCTACCAAGGGCGACAGCACTTGGTCATCGCAATGAACTCTCACACGCCCTCTCAGTTGCTGCAAAAGACGTTGCAGCTGAGATATCGGATCGAGCCGGCTTACCGGAAGGTGAGAGACGTATGAGAGCTCTTGAAATCCAACGAGAGCAAGAGCTGGTCATCCTTCGTTTGAACGAACTCAAGAAAGAGTTGACCGAACGCGTCGACACGTATCTCAAACTTTCTGGCGTTGATCAAGAATGGAACGTGTTTTATGACACTACTGCGAAGGAAGTGAATCAGTTGAATAATCTGATCATGAAAATGGATGAAGAAGACGAGAAGCAAGTCGGACAGATCTTGAGTCAGACTGTATTCGGACTGAATCACGACAAAATGGAAGTGAGCGCCCTCTTGAACGAAAGAGGAGGTCCGAGATATTTTCAAAAAGACGATTTGGAGGACTTGATGCATAAAGGTCTCCCAGTAGCAGACCTTTATCACTTTGAGGACATTTTAGAATTGTCATCTCCACTCAAGGCTTGGGACAAATACAAGGACGGTGATCTCCATTCGTTGGCCGATCGGCTGTGGAAAGTGATGGGCTCTCCGTCCCAGGAAGACGCGAGGCGTCGTTTCAAAGGAGACTGGCAAGAATCGCCGATCCGAATGTTAATTATGACTCGACCAAAACTATTGGAGCTCTTCGAAGATCGTCTTCGGTACTTTGGCAGAGCTGACGCCGTTGAGAATGAGATCGACGTTTGGAGGTGGTGGAGCCACGAACCCAAAGCAGAATTGAGCGACATTAAAATGACTCCTACCGAAATGATTATCAGAGCTCACCTCGGAATCCCGATAGAAGACTTGGCAGCCATGAAACGATTATTCAAGCTGATGAAAAATGTAAAGGGAGGCCGAGCTCAAGACTCTTCACATATTCTTCATTGGCCGATGCTAGTCAATGACCCGGTTCCTATGAGTTCACAGCTTAAAAAGTTTACGCGCTTCTATGAGTTCTTTGGTCTTAAAGTTGTTGTCTCTCCAAAGGCCTTGAAAAAGTTGAAACTCAAATCTTAGACCCTCGAGGACATCTCTGGCACTTTTTGGATGCTAATGGCATTTTAGGGAGGCAATATCATTTCGTATTCAACCTTCTTAACAATAACTCCATCTTTCATCTCCCGATGATCTTGAATGAAATTTGTCACCAGAAATATAGACTAGTCGAAAATGGATATCGGTTTGATCACTGATCATAAAGAGTTGAGAACCTTTGATTCATCATCCAGCTTGTTGCGATTCCCATGTTACTTTACTTCATAATTAGTCAATACTCTTGACTCATCAATCAAGTTGTCTTTAAGTTGTCTTTTCTCATACATCCCTGCAAAATTATTTAAACCTAATCCAGCTTTGATTGTAAAGTGGTAATACAGTATCAAAAACTGTTTGTCTTTTGATTACAACTAGCTAATTGGGCGGCGGGTGCTGCCATTTTAGGCTCTGAGAAGAATGAAGCTTCTGACTGCTTCCAATGCTATCAAAGCTACCCAATGTGAGCAAGAATGCATGCTAATTCGAAGTCAAGTCTATCACCAGGGGGGGTTTACATTTCCAAAGCAGGAGCACACTAATGTGCATGATCATATCCATCTTTGGAATATGGGATTTTCACATCAATTGTCCGAGAAACAAAACCAAATAAAATTGTCTCTGTTAATCTATGACACATATGGCCACATCTTTTATCTCAATATTTGATGTGTGAACTTTGCAAACTCATTAAGAGCATCACCAACGCGCCACAAACTGAAAACCTCGTACAGAGCAGTACAGTTGTCAGTATGTCACTGTACTGCTCTATGTATTTTGATCCAGCGACGCTTCTCTGCAGCGCGCAAACTGGAGCCGTCTGGAAACCAGATTTGGACTTCCACAGACGTCTATCCTTGCGAGTTTAGCAATCATGTACTATTTTGATCGCTGTTCAAGAGGTTTGAAGTTTGGACCGCTCTTTGACAAGAGCTGGTCTACATGTGTCCGAACTATGTCCAAAACATGGGAAAACAGGTTTCCAGAGGGACCCAAAAAGAATCTGGTTGAACCCTGTGAAACCTAATTGTTCGGAAAACAATGCTCACACACCTGGCCAACCGTGCGACCTAGGTTGCGCGGTGGAGGGTGAATTTCGGAAAAATTTGGAAAACATATTTTTTGACTTACGTTTCTGTCAGAAATTGTACGTTTCCAGGCGCCCGTTGGTGATGCTCTAACATGTTCACTGAAAGTGCAACATACACCAAATTGTGGCCTATTGAACACAGGACATTGTAAAAGGATGTCCAGGTTCAATGGCTTAGATGTGTATTGATCATTGAATTAGGTGCTTAAATTCATTGAGCCATTAGTGGTACACAAACTTAAACACCCAAAAAAAACCTGTGGACAAAACCCATGACAACCCAATTGTTTTTGAGGTTTTGCCCATTGGTTTTCCGCCTCCAAGTTGGACAAAACCCAAAAAACAATTAGGTTGTTATGGTTTTTTTGTTTGGGTGTCCTTGTTTGTGTACCACTATTGATCAAGGAAATTTCAGCTGGAAATGTTCTCAATTTGAAATTGCATGTGTTCCCAAAGCCTGAGAGGGTACTCAACAGTCCATCTCACTTCAGCACATGTAGAGTTGCAGGTACATATTGTGTGTTGTCTCAAGCACCAAAGTTTGTGACAGGCCCAATACAGAGGCATGTGAAGATTCAAGTGTGGGTCAAGTAGGGGGAGAATTTTCCAACCCCACTCGTAACACCACACTCTCCAAATGTCTCACCCTGCAATCTTCTTTTGTTAAGATGTTGGCGCAAGGCCTTCTGGCACCAGCACCTGAAGCGCTCTGCTTTTAAACAAATTTTTTGGAGCGTGACAATATGCCACTCACGCTCTGCCACAAAGAGCAACCTGCTACACAAGTCTCGGAGCATGGCACACTTTTGCTCTACCCTTGCTCCGCTTGGACAGTTTTTAGGCTGATAAAGCTGCTGGCGCGCTCAAAAGTATTCACAATATTTTTTCAATATTAATAATGCAAAAAATCAAAAACAGAGAGCAACCAAATCATCATAACATTTGATCCCATGAACAGTTCAAAAACAAAACTTAACAAAATTCACCAAAGTCTCTGATATCCCAGCCAAACAAGTTTGGGCAAAGGTCCAAAATCCGCAAGGAACGCAGGGAAAAACATACGTCCATTGAGTAGTACATTTCAACTACCCGCAATGTGGCGCATACCACAACATTTGGTGGGTATTTCAGCCATGACATGTGCAATGCCCATCACCACATCTTTCAGCAATCAATCTCCAGACTACCATCACATCACAGATAGCCTCTCAAACCCCAACAAACCAACTCAAATAGGCCAAACAGGGTCACCGAGATCACCTCATGTTTCAGCAATCAATCTACAGGCTACCATCACCACATTCTTTATTGTCTCCTAGGCCCAATGAACTAAGCCGAACAGGCCAAACTGTGTTCATGTTATGACATTAACCCTATAAGGCTTACTGAGAATATGTCTATACTGTACATCTCTATATCTCTTGTATTGTGTCAATTAGAGACTCTTCTCCTCACTTAGCAATCCAACTACCTTACTGGAACAACCTCAGTGCTCCCTTGCATCTCCTCCACGTCCGGGTTCCTATCATATTGCTATATACTTGATTGGTCACCGTGAATATGACAAAAATAAGTCCGCACTAGACTGGTGGGATGTAGGTTTTTTCCTTAACTTCTAACTTCTACTCTCAATTCTGACTCATGTTTTAATTCTCGATCTAATAGACAAACAATGTCGTTGTCCCACTGCTTGCCACATTGGCAAGAGACTACCTGGCGGTGTCAGGTACAAGTTGCCCGGCCGAGCGGGTGTTTTCGAGCGCAGCTGATATCTGCACACAGGATCGAGGAGGGCTGATTCCTTCAACAATGAGTAGATTAGTTTGTTCACGCGAGTGGCTGAAAGACGGAATTGACCCGGGAGGTGATTATGGAGCAGCCATAAAATACATAGCAACATACTTAGAGGGTGTGGAAAAAAAGAAAAAGAAACAGATCACCATTGTAGACAATTGAATGAGGTGATTTCTTTATTATACAAATGCTTGACTTGAAATCGTAAATGTTTATTAAGTTTGTGTCTTGAAAATCAACCCATAAGAACAAGTCCTTTTCTCTTGCCTTCAATTGTGAGAAAAAAAAACCCCCGTGAGGCGTTCTGCGGCGCGCTGCGGTCATTTTTAGCGCGCCGCTGTCGCATCGAGACTTTTCCTCACTGCAACAGCAGTGCGGTGTGATACCATTAAGACTGGGGTGAATCGCACCTCCACCTCAGTGGACCCAAAATCCGCCGCGCTGCGGCGGGATTTGGGAGTTGCTATCAGAGCTTTAATCCAATTAATTTTTGGTGTTTTTAGAGTCTCTTTTGATGAATGTACTACCAATAAACCTTCAATTTCCTCAAATTACAACCTGTAACAAATGCTGAGATTTGGCCCATGAAGATCAAATGGACATTTTGATTTCTACAAAACCACATAACTTTTGCATTTGGGCATAAAAAGCCTTGATTTTGAGTTCATTAGAAAGCTGAACATCTGCCCCAGAGCTTTCATTGAAAGTGGAAATGTGTGGCTAGTCTGGTAAAGGTGTAATGAATACATATGTGTAACTCATTTCAAACTTCTATAACTTCTTTCACACAACAGCCAGAGCTCTTAGTCCATAACAAAGTATGTCCAGAACGCAGTCAGCTTTCTAATGACTTAATGATCAAGTCCTTTGGACCAGAATTAAAAAAGTTATGAGTTTTCTCAGAAATAAAAATGTCCATTTGATCCTCATGAGCCAAATTTCAGCCTTTGTTACAGGTTGTAATTTGATGAAATTGAGGGTTTATTGTTAGTACATTCATCAAAAGAGACTCTAAAAATACCAAAAAAAATTGGATTAAAGCTCTGATAGCAGGCAACAAGGTGCATATTTTTTTGTATTTTTTGCTCTCCTCCTGAGATCTCAACATTTTTCAATGTCAAGACTTTTCTTTTCCGTGCAGAAAATATTATCTTTCTTGTAGTGGAAGTAGCTGATGGTGATGTGATTTGGTGCTGAGGTGAGTGGGGATGAGGGGTGAGCTGGTGGAGTTGGGTGTGACACTGATGGGGTTTCTGGAATTCTGGAAGTGTGGCGCATTCAAATTTGCCTAATGCCAGAACGCCAGAACACACCAAAAAAGAACTTCTGGTGTTCTGGAAAAAACCTTCTGGAAATTTCCAGAAGAACCGTATCCTTTCCAACTTACAAGGTACTCAATCTGCTTGCCTTTCATTCTTTTGTCAAGTATTTCGTTGATTTCAAATTCATCATTTTCTTCATTTACTATTGGCGGTGGAGGTTCTTTCTGTTGTCCCAGGATCTTGCTTTGTTGAAATTTTTGTAACAAGTTGACGTGGAAAACCGGATGAATTCTGACCATAGACTTGGGCAAATTGAGTCTGTAAGCATTGTTTGATATCTGTGAAGCTATTGTGAAAGGTCCTAGCCAGCGATGTGAGAACTTAGCTGTAGGCCTTGTGGTTGACAGGTGTTTGCTACTTAACCACACTTTTTCTTCCTTACGCCATTTTGGTGTAGTTCAAACTTTGGAGTTGTACTGTAGTTTCATTGATTCTTGTGTCAACACCATTGTGTCTTTCAATTCTTGTTGCACTATCTTGATTTGTTTGAACCTTTGTTCTACTAACGGCAAACATTGTTTGCTTGCTGGAACGTCAGTAAAATTCACGTCATACCCATAATTAGCCTTAAATGGAGAAACACCTATTGCCACATGCTGGTTATTATTATACAAAAACTCTGCTAAAGGCAGTAGTCCATACCAATCATCTTGTTTATATGACGTATAATGCCTTATGTATTGTTCCACCGCTTTATTCGTTATTTCAGTCTGGCCATCCGTTTGAGGGTGATACGCCGTCAAGGATTGAGTTTTAATTCCCAGCCTTTTATTGAAGTCTTTTGTAATTCTTGAAATAAAGATATTCCCTCTGTCTGAGGTGATTGTGCGTGGTGTGCCATGAAGTCTCCACACCTCCTTTACCATCAGCTCAGCCAGTTCACTTGACATCATCTCTTTCTTACACGCGATAAAATGCGCCATTTTCGTCAATCGATCAACCACCGTCAAAATGCTATCATATCCGTTTGAGGTCGGTAAGTCAGTTATCAAGTTGTAACAAATGTGTAACCGCCTCATCCCCCTCTCTTACACAAAAATTGTTATATCCGTTACGCATGTCCAATGATGTGAACTCATCTGCGTTCAAAAGGCTATCAATTAACT